CAAGGAATTGAAACCAAGGCCTAACCAACCTGTAACAACCCTGCCCAAAACATCCTAAAACTCAATCAAGTGGAATTAAAGGACAGCAACAAGATAGATACCACTACCAATTTCACGGAACCGAGTCCGGAATACAACATAACAGTAAAGGGACAACCGGGATCGCTATAATTTGAGTTAGCACTCTTCTTTTTGTAACCAAGTGTTAACTTGGAAAGCAGTAAGCCCATAGGGCACTTGCTTTTGTTGTTAACATGTAGTACTTTTGTAAGAACTACTCTGACGAATAGAAATGTATTTATTTCTCTTATATCATTGCATGTCTAAATAGATGGGTTTTATGTATTATTTTGAGGGCATTACAATACTTTTACTTTTATTTGCACATGGATTTAATAGTTATATTTTAAAATAATTTTGTATTGTTATCATCTTAATACTTCATTGGACAAGAATTATACAAATTTCTTGTATCATGGGCACAGTAATTGGACTAGTATATATATATACAAATACAAATGGGAGATGAAATGCACCCTACAAATCATGATCACATTTATATTGGTGGGAGCACTACCTAGTACCAAGTCACAGTGGCCATCCAAATGGTTTCTGATCCATCTATTCATGCATTATATACAAGAAAAAGATATGTACCTGAAAATATATTGTGAAATTTTTTTTGTAAGTGAAATAGGTGATTTAAATTTAATTTAATAATTTATGGGTTATTTTTAAAAATGAATTTGATATTTTATATATTGTTCTAATTAATTTAGAACTTGTTTAGTAACGTTTATAGTTATATTTTCAAATTTTATGAAATCTGTAAAGAAAAACTTGTTTGGTTTCCCTTGTTTTTAAAATTTATAAAAAATTTACTAAATTTTTTAGAGGATAAAAAGGTTAGCTTCACTTGTATAAATTTATTAGTATTTTTTTTCATCATTTCTATCTACCACCCATTGCTCATCACTATCACTGGCCATCATCACTAATGATCTGCGCTAGCAACCTCCTTTGACCGCCAATCACATCCTACGACGATAGCCACTTTTGTCGACCACCTCTTGTTGGAAACAATCTTAAGCAGATGGTCTTCATCTTTGCCTTTTACCTCTAGCAACTGACAATCACCTCTAGCAACTGATAGCAACTGACAATCACCTCTAGCAACTGACAATCACCTCTAACCACTATTTCTAACCGTTAACAACCACTTCCCATGAGTTGCCCCCTTTCACTTATTTTCAAAATAAAATTTTAAATATTTGTGTATTGATTTTTTTTTTTAAATTTCAATTGTACCCAAAATAAATATAAACGTATTTAATATTTTTTTTTATAAATTATAAACCTTACCAAATTAATAAGTCAGCCTTTTGAATTTCATTTGATAACTAATTGGATAAGTCCCACTAGCCGACAGCTTTCTAGAAAAAAAATAGAAAACACTGCAACCTAACCCATCAATACTAGTCAAGCCACCATTTTCTCATTGTCAACTTCTTCGATTAGATCCAAATTTACACACTATTTAACTATTTAGAATCTCATCCTCATGAACCATAGCTAAACAAAACCCTCCAAAACTCCCTATAAAACAATGCTCACATGTCTTATTGAATGAAGATTTAATAACTCCAATAATGTGTGATGTATACTTGGAATTAAATTTGGATTACACATTTTCTTTTTCTTTTTTTGTCATATTTTTCTCCGTCTGAATGCTTTGATTCATACCATTACTGTAACTCCTATATATGTTTCCGAAGATCATAGTATGAGTATTGCAAATTGGCTACCCACAAAAAAACAATGGCAGGCCTCAAAGATTACTACAATTCCTACCTCTGTGTTTTTGTCATATTGACTATCAGTTGTGCCATGGCCTCAACCTCACCATCTCTGGCAGTCAAAGGGGGCTACTGGCCTTCATGGGCCTCGGATTTTCCTCCATCCGCCATCGATACTACACTGTTCACCCACATCTACTATGCTTTTCTTTCACCTAACAATGCCACTTTCAAGTTTGATATCTCAGACTCAACAGCTTCAATGCTCTTGAATTTCACGTCTACGCTCCACGCAAAGAATCCACCGGTGAAGACAATTTTTTCAGTCGGTGGAGGTGGCGAAGGCCCGGTTATCTTTTCCAACATGGCATCAACTGGTCACTCAAGGAGGAGTTTCATTGAGTCATCCATTGAAGTAGCAAGAAACACTACAGGAAAAATGGGTTTAAGTGGCTTTTTTTTAACGACGTTTTTTGAAATGTCACTTTTATTAATATTTAACGACGTTTTTTAAAAACGTCGCATATTTTTTTAATCAAACGACCCCGTTTTAGAATAGGAGGCGTTAGCGTTGTGCGCATATTTTGTATCTGAGAATGCTGCTTAAAGCTTTGTAAACCCTTATTTTGAATCCTCACACCTTCACAAACCTCACGCGTCTCTCTTGCTCACCCCCAAAACCCTTGAAAGCGATTTCGATTCAGAGCGATTTTCTTTGAGATTCATACAGATTCGTCAGAGCGATTTCGATTTGAAGGTCTGAAGCTTCACTCTGTCACTCTGTCTCTCTCACGTTCTCTCTCTCTCTCTCTCTCTCTCGATTCATCCTTTGTTCTCTGAAATATCGATCTGAAGCTCTGAAGCTCTGGGTGATTGCGAAGAGAGAAGAGGGGTTGGTTTCGATGGCAGATGAAGTGATCTCAGGAGAGGCTGTGTTTGATTTCTCAGATCGGTCTTAGAGCGATTTCGATTTTGAGATTCATCTCAAAGTGATTTCAATCTTGAAGTTCTCTCTCTCGATTTCAAAGCTTCATCGCAAGGTATTGATTCTCTCTCTCTCTCTCTCTCTCTCTCTCTCTCTCTCTTTGTCGATTTGTGTTATACCTTATCTGGAAATACTAGCTCAACATGCTTTTCCCATATCTTTTCTCAGTTGCTACAAAACAAAATGTGTTCCTAGAGTTCATGTTCAATTTTTATTTAGGCTGATAACCTGTTCGTGTTTGGTTTTCCTCCCAGATATATGTTCCAACAAATCCTCGTGGTGCAGAGTCCTTACCTCTAGCAATTGTAGTCTCTCAGTCCACTTTTTATTTGCGAAGGCTATGGGGTGAACCCAGTGAGGTATGTTGTTCAACACAAGTAACTGTGTTATGGTGCTGGACTTTGCAATTATTTACCTATTTTAGATGGTGGAATTGGTTTTAATCATTGTAAAGTTTTTAATTTCTTGTTAACTCTCCAACTCAACTATGACCATATATGATTTCGGAAGTCCTAATAGAGTAGACATTGTTGTTTAGCGAGTAAATATCAAAAAATAAAAAATAAATGAAAATTCATCACATATCTAAGACCATGGCATATTCTACTTAATAATTCTTTAACTAAAGTTTTCTTATCTTTGAAATGTTCTTGTCAAAGGCTTAATGGATATTACTCTTATCATCGTTTTTTGAAATTGTGTGAAACCTGTTTGCAAAACTGTACTTTTCAGGTTTTGGTTATTTTTTAATGTGTGATGCTTAGATTTGTTAAGATTGGTACGGTGGGGTTGGCTGCTTGTAGATTTAATTGGCTTATCATTGCTGGTGACAAGAGAGTGAGAAACCCTCATATCATAAAATACTAAAAATTGAAATAAGTGCAAAAAGAAACCATCTCATACTATGACATTTCCATTGATTTGGCATGTGTGTAACTACTCTCATAACTCCAATCATCTTATGGAGAACGTTCTGTAACTTTCATGATTTAACAATGAAGCCGAAATACTTGGTAACATTCACAGTTGGTTTGGATCAGAGGAACAACATTGATGCAGCAGTTAAAAAGGTTACACAAATGGACTATTCCATTATATGTATTATTTTTATGATGTTACAAGTAGAGGTTTGTAATCTTATTTTATTTTTTGATAGTTTTCTGAGGATTTTCAAATTATGCTTTTTCATTATGATGGCTGGACAAGTGAATGGCATCAATTTGAGTGGTCAAAGAGGGCCATCCATGTCAGTGTAAGAAAGCAAGCAAAATGGTAAAGATGCTTTAGTATTTTACATATTTTTGGTGTTATACCACATTTTCCACTATACCATGTTTGAAAAGAGAACTCATAAAACAGAGATATGATACCCTTTCTTTATTGGGAAAGGAAATAAAGAACTTATTTTTTGTTCATTAATATTGCATCCTTTCGTAGATTCAAATGACCATTATAAGATTTGCTACCAGTTGTGTTTCTGCTGAGTGGAAAAAATTCATCAAAAACAAGAGGATGGGAGTTATTAAGGAGTTGGTGGAAAAAATTCATCAGATTGAGGAGTTGCCACTGCAAGAATTTCATGGCCACACTAGTGATGTCTTGGATCTGGCCTGGTCCAAATCTAATGTAAGTTATTGCTTGCTTGCAAAATACCTTTAAAATTTTCCCATTTGTTTAAAAAAACATAATTATGTTTTTGAGGTCAATTTGTTGCAGTGTCTTCTTTCATCATCGAAGGATAAACTGTTCGTCTATGGCAAGTGGGCTGCAATGAATGTATTAGTGTTTTCCAACACAATGACTATGGTTAGTATTGTTAGCTATTTGTAATTCCTATATAAACTATTGATTCAGATCATAATATGTATATGTATCTTGTTGAATCTATTGTCTTTTGAGTGTTATTAAAAATTAATATATTGTTTATGTTATCTTTATGGTATCAGTGACATGCATTTAGTTCAATCCAGCCAATGAAAATTACTTCATGAGTGGCTCTATAGACGGAAAAGTTCGAATTTGGGGAGTGACCGAGAGACAAATTGTTGATTGGGCTAATGTGAGAGATGTAGTAACTGTTATATGTTATCATCCATCATGCTTGCTATAGGTATGATTTGTAGGTATATGATTGAACACAATAAAAATCCTTTCTTTTTTTTTTGGTGCCATGTGTCATGTGTTAATGATGAAATAAAAAAAGCATACCTACAAATTCATTTGATGAATGAATGTGTTAATAGTTAGGATTTGTATAGTCAAGTTAGACAACCATGGCTTTAAATTTTTATTCTGTTAACGGTTAGGATTTGAATCTTTTTCAGTTAATTGATTTTGAAATTCATGACTTAATCGGTTGGAATTTTTAGTATCATACTGTTCAAGCTTTAATTAATCTCATTAGCAAAGGTCTTTTTATTTTCTTAGAGTTCTCTGGTTAGTTGTTGTGAATTTCATCATTCTAGGTTAGTTTAATTGAGTCATTTAGAACCTTTCGATTTTTAAGCAATTTGTTTAGCTTTATATATTCCAAACCTTCTTTCTTTTAAGCAATTTGTTTCATATTGGGTCTTTTTTATTCCAATTTTCATCTAGATACTTTTATTAAACGATTTGGTAATTGTAGGAGAGCTTAGGCAGCATTAGTTTTACAAAGACTTTTAATGGCTCCGGCATTAAGATAAGCTTAGGCATCATTAGTTTTACAAATCAAGATAAGTTTCTTCAATTTGATTTTATTTTAGTCTCATGTTTATTTTTATTTTTTTGCCCTTTTTTGATTTAACTGCTGTACGTTGTGATGGGTTTGGTGTGATTTTGATTTAACTTTTTTTAGGTTGTTGTGGCGGATTGGCCCTTCTTCTCTCTCTGTTTATTCTATCACATGTAAGCAATTCACATCGTAGGGTTTTTCATCCCCAAACCTAATTTATGACCTTTTATTTATGTATTTATATCAAGGTGACAATGGCAGTGGATCCTTCTAATGTTGAATCTTTTTGGGTTATTCACTAATTTGAAAATTGCTTATTTATTTGTTTGTTTGCTAAACAATAGAATCATATACTTCAATTCAATATTAGTTGGCAAACATAATAATTGTTCTTTTGTTTAATTTTTTCTCAAATGTAGTTCGTTTAAGACTAATTGTTTATGTTGGTTGTTAATTTTGATTTTTTTGGGTTTTTATTAGTTGGTGCACTCTTTTTGAATTACATTAGTTGGTGTGCTTTGCTTTGCTTTGGTTGAATTTTTTTTTTTATGCCATTGGTATATGGTATGTGACTGTGTGGTGGGGGAGGGGAAAAATAGAGAGTTGTGTGTGGCAGTGTGATGGGGGAGAGGAATACAGTGAGGGCTAAGGTATCTTCTTGTCCTTTGCTTATTTGTTCTGCATAGATGGAGTTTTCATATTTTACTTCATATTTTGCTACGAGCACTTGATGTCGTGAATAAGGATAAATTTATTGCAACACTATATGAGTAGAGCAAGAAGCAAAAAAGTTACTCTTAATGTAAAAACAGAACTCATAGAATAATGATGTCTTCTAGTGACAAACCTGATATGATTTGCAAATTGATTTTGTTTTTCTTTCTTTCTTTCTTGTAAATAATGCAATATAGATGGTACTTGCTATTTATAGAAAATTTGTAATCTTTAATAAAATCTTTGCTTTGTAATCTTTTCTTTAAGTGGCCATTTAATAAGATGTGAGAACTACTGAGCAGAACAAAAGGAATCTGAATTCTGAATCTTATGTATGATGTTGCATTACTTATTGAAACTCTAGGAAAATAAAATTCATGGAAGCAAACTGAACCGGTTGACTTTGTCTAATTACTCTTACCTCAACTTGAATTTTTATTCTTGAAAACTAGCTTCTCTTCAGATAACACAACAGCACATCATGACTTTTAATTCCTAGTTTTAAATTTTTATCTTTGTGACATCACATCTTGCACTTGCAATGGGCTTATCTGTTTTATATATTGGATTTTTTTCTTTCCTCGAACAAGACATTGCATTGAAGATCTTCAGAAGCATAAAAATGACAACTAGAAGAGCTGGAGCACTCAAAAAGTTGAAGCAAGTCTAAACACTGAATAAATCATATTTGAAATTTAAGCAATTAACATAATGAAGCCAAATTACATAGGCAACTAGTGGTAAAGGAAACAAAAGGTGTATTATAGGCACAGATAGCAGGGACAGCTAATGAAATGCCAAATTTTGAGCTGTGTAGACCTGGACCTTACTTTATAAGCAATTCAAGGAAAAGGATTGTGTTCACACAAGCTTATCACTAACCTGAATGGCATCAACACCTGGTATATCATTTCCAAAATATCCTTTCTTAGGAAACCCAACCACTATCTTGTACCAGAAAGACGAAAGTTTCCAAAATGTTGAAGTAAAAAAACACTCCTGACCTGCACAAACACTTCAAGGCATCCTTTTGCTTTTCTCCACCCTCTGGAATGATAAGAGACATTTGTGTTCATTCATCAAATTTTGCAAAATTAGTTAATACTTACAGTTCAATGTAATTGTTCGCAGGAGATAGACGCTTCTCTCCATGGAAAGGATCAGTTGTGAACTCAGTGGTTGGAGTTTTCCTTACTCAAAACGTCTCAAACCATCTTTCTAGGTCAATTGGATTTTCTGACTTAATAAGGAATATAACACTGGTTGTAATTGAAAACCTCTTCACTTTACTTTCTTATTTGCAGTTCTGCCTTCATGTCTCTTGCTGCACGATTTCCCCTCAAGTCAAACAGCAATGACAGGCCATGCTTTGAAGAGACAAGTATATTGGCCAAAGAACCGGAAGTGTGTATTCTTGATCCAGAGGATACCATCAAATGGCAATGGCATGAGAGAAATCACATCAGACTGCCTGCAACAGGAGTTCTATGACGCTCCATGACATGAATTATAATTTAGAGGAAGTTGTCCACAGCAATGAATTGCTTGGAAGCATCAATGGTGCTGAAAAGTCCACGACTAATTTGAAATATAAATTCTCAGATATTTCTGGAAATTGCCCAAAGATATACCATAAATCAACAGCCATAAGAGAGATGGATGATGTACTTTCTTCTCAGTATTCTGGTGGTTCTTCTCAAAACTCTCTGGACTCATCAATGACTCAACCTGCTGAAAGAATAGAATCATGCTTGCAGGATAACTCAGAAGCAGATCCAGCAATCAGGTCAAACCCCAACAGTCATTCTGGCTCTTCTTTTCTGGAGCTACTACAAAGCGTAGAACTTTATTCTCAGCGTTCTAGTGGTTCCTCTCAAAACTCTGTGGACTCATCAATGGCTCACACTGCTGAAAGAATAGGCTCATGCTCACAGGACAACTCAGAAGCAGATCTGGCAACCAGGTCAAGCCCCACCAGTCTTGTTGGCTCTTCGAAAGCCTCCGTAAGGCCCATCATCCCTTCCAGTAACTATCCTTTGCAAATGACCCCCAGTTCTGGAATACTTGAAGTTGAATCCTTCGAGATGTTGGGAGAAGAAATCCTGTTTTCTGATATTTCCAAGAAAATTGAAGAAAATTGCACCAGTGAACATAGTGGAATAACAGCAGAATCTGTTAGCCAGGCTATGGTTCAAAAGGTCATGACTGCAAGTTCTAAAGAAGCACCAAAATCTCCCAGTGAAAGTAATCATGCATGCAGTAGCCCTCAAGAAGAGGTGAATAAGATCTTCCAATCTCAAAACAGGCCAGCTAGGAATCTCAAGGATAACGTTCAATCACAGACTCAAGAACATAATTGTAGAATGCAGCGCATTCTCGAGGTTCCAAACCTTTCAAGAGAGGCCTCAGATGTCACAGAGAGCACTAGTGTAATTAATAACCCAAAAAACAATGAGCATAAGGAAGTTGAGTCAAGCTTGAAGGACCATGGGTATCTTCCTAGTAAGGCAATCAATGGAACAAGTCTCGACAGTTCCAATGTGAAGAGGGGAAGGACTGCAAAGCACAAACAGGAACCAGTTGACTGGGATAGCTTAAGATTGCAGGCACAAGCCAAAGGTAAAAGAAGAGAAAGGACAGCCAAGACAATGGACTCATTGGACTGGGAAGCAATACGACTTGCAGATGTTAAGGAGGTTGCTGACACCATCAAAGAAAGGAGAATGAACAACGTGCTAGCAGGGAGAATCAAGGTACATATATTACATTTCATAACAGGGTTACCTCATATTCAATCAGTTGAATTGCACATGGCTTACCTGTGTTTATAACGCATCACACTCGATACCCAAAAAAAATAAAAATAACCATTTAACTGATGATAGTTGAGAAAATGCAGGATTTCCTGAACCGGATGGTAAGAGAACATGGAAGCATTGATCTTGAATGGTTAAGGGATGTTCCACCTGACAAAGCAAAGTGAGCCCACAGAAATTTTTCATATCACTTCTATATGTTAAGGAAGAATCTGAAGTATCGTGTAGCTATGTTGCTGTGATGTATATAATATTTCTGAAATGACAAAATAGCTTCAGTTTTTTCTTAGGATAAAAAAGAATGAAGTAACAAATTCTTATAGAAGTTAATGCTTGTAGAGAGTATCTGTGGAGCATAAGAGGATTGCGTGGAGTGTGTGCGGCTTTTGACACTTCACCATCTTGCTTTCCCAGTAAGTTATGAGTTGAAATACAAGATATCTTATAATAAGATGGACAAATCTTGTACTCTTTGACATTTAATTCTCGTAATTCTTCAATAAGGTGGACACAGATGTTGGACGTATAGCTGTAAGACTAGGATGGGTGCCCCTTCAGCCACTGCCCAAATCACTTCAGTTGCATCTTTTAGAGCTGTAAGTATTAAGTGCAAATGATTTACAGCAGCTTAATTGGTCATTCACAATAGAAAAGCTAATGTTGTTATGCCTACATAGGTACCCGGTGTTGGAATCAATTCAGAGATATCTCTGGCCACGACTCTGCAAGCTTGACCAAAGAACATTGTAAATAGACATTTATGATTACACCTATAATGCTACTTTTCGTATATATGAATCAAGAACAAAAAATGAATTTCTTGTTAAACTTAAAATCATGCAATCTCATTCATAATAAGTTCACTCATTCATAATATTAGTACTATTTTTCAATTTTATTATAGGTATTTTTTGGTTCAACCACATAGAATTAGCACAATTTAAAAAAAAATAAATTAAAAAAAATAAAGATATAATGGCATTTTTTAAAATGCCACTATAAAGTGAACGGTTATATTTTTAAAAACTAAAAAAAGTTATGACGACGTTTTTGAAACGTCGCTAAAAATTGTCATGATGTCAGTTTTATAGTGATCCCGGGTTTACCCTTGTTGTACAGTGATCCGGACATGTGTCCGTGGATGTTAGTAGTTGATCAGTACCTTGTGTACATCCTTTCTTACTTTGTATTTGAGTTATAGGATGTGTAGGGCAGGTTTGTTACAGGTTGGTTGAGATTAGAAACTAAAACTAGTTGCCCAGATTTTGACATGTCCGCTCGAGCGGGGGTTTTGGCGCTCGAGCGGGAGTTTCACCTATCCAGTATTTCCTGTGCAGTGTTCGACGCTCGAGCATGGGATTGGCCGCTCGAGCGGGTTTGTGTGAGTGACGCTCGAGCGGGGAGTTGGAAGCTCGAGCGGGAGACCTGTCTGCAAAAGTTCTGGGAGTGTGTATCCGGAGCTCGAGCGGGGGATTGGCCGCTCGAGCGGGAGTCTGTGAGTGACGCTCGAGCGGGGCGTTGGACGTTCGAGCGGGGCGACTGAGTTAAAGCTCCGTGTTTTGACTTTTCAAATCACTTTTTCACTTTCTCTTCTCTCTCCTACTTTTCCAAAAACACCAGCGTTGAGCCTCTCACTCTAGAACTCTACCTTCTCTCTAGGTTTTGATCTAGTAAGAGTGATTTGCTCATCTTTGGCCTTTACAAAAAAAGTTGTTGATCGTCGAGGGCTACATTTTAATTTGAAAATTTCGGGATTTGGAGCACGTTGGGTTTTGTCATCTCCTCCCTTGGGGCACCGGATTTGAGGTAGGGATATCCTACTCCTCTCTATGGATTTTGTCTTTAGATTTTAGTATTTTGAGATGTTGGGGTTGGTTTGGTAATTTTGTGAAAGTTTGGGACTTTTGTGTAATTTTACAAAAGCTGGGGTTTTATTTATAATAAACCTAGATGCATGTTTGGCATAGAGAAATGGAATAAATGTTGAATCATTGATGAAAATGGGACCTTAAGGGTTGAAATGTTAATTATGGAGAATGCCCTAATTACATTGTTTGATTAATTGGGTTAATTAATCGTGAGAAATGAGGTTATGAAATAGAAATGTTGAGATTGGGAATACATGGGATTAAAGGGTGTCGTTGGATCTCATGTCACTCACCTAGTTGGAAATGTCGATTTTATATCCATTTGTTGCATTTATTTACTGTATAGAAATAACTGCTTTGGGCTATCGGTGGAGGATAGTCGTGATTGTTGTAGACAATGCATGATGATTAGGCAAACGGAAACTAATCACTGGAATGAGTCATTGATTATGATTGATTGAAAGAACACGTTAAATTTATGTGTTGCGTGATGATATGCATAATTATTGTTTATATGCATTGTGTTGTGTTGGAGGAGATAGGGGATGGGCTCCGTAGATAGAGCTCATATGCTTATCTAGTACTGTGTTGACAGAGCTCATATGCTTGTCATTGGAAGTGTGATAGTGCTCATATGCATATCTGTGAAAGTAATGATATAGCTTGTATGCTTATCTGCTGTTGTGTGATATAGCTAGTATGCTTATCTATTATGAAATGAGAAGTGTTTGATATGAGTTACTGTCTTATATGAGTTGTTTGGCCAGGTTCTGAGCCATGGTTGTAAATTGAGAATTGAAAGGAATTGGAAAATGGACTGTAATATGGACTTGTATGTCATGAAACCGTAAAATGTGATAAGGGAAAATATCTGTATTGGCCATCTATCAACTGCTAATTTTTTAGTCATTGTTCATATTTGGTTTAGTGTATTTCTACTAGGCTGTGGCTCACTCTATATGGGAATATCATTTTCAGGTACAAGTAGCATGCCACCTCCAAGGTCATAGCTTGGGAGGCTAGAGGCGGACATATTTTTTTGTTGTTTAAGTTCCTTTTTGATGTATTACATGTATATTCAAGCCGAGGGCTTAATGCGTAGATGAGTTAGTACTCTTTTGTTGTAACCAAGTGTTAACTTGGAAAGCTGTAAGCCTGTAGGGCATTTTGCTTTTGTTGTTAACATGTAATACTTTTGTAATGAAATTCTGATGAATAGAAGATTGTGGATATTTCATATGTCAATGAATGTTTTATTTGATGGGTTTAATGTTATTATTTTGAAGGCGTTACAAGTTTGATGTTATGTATCACATTTATAGGCGACGTTTTAACCATGTAACGACGTTTTTAAAGCGCCCTAAGGTTATAGCGACGGCCGCACTTCGACGTTTGGTGCGAAGCGCCACAAAAAGAAATAACGGCATTTTTTACACCTATAGCGGCGTTTTTTAAATGCCGCCAAAAGCTGAATTTCCTGCAGTGGAAGTTCGGTTTTGATGGTGTTGATCTTGATTGGGAATTTCCTCAAAGCCCAAAAGATATGGAAAATTTAGGCCAATTACTCCACGAATGGAGGGCTAAGGTCCATCAGGAGGGTAAGGCAACAGGCCGGACCCCTCTCTTGCTCACCGCCGCCGTTTACTTCTCCGTGGACTTCTTTCTCTCCGACGTCCAACGCTCGTACCCGGTGGGTTCGGTTAAAAAGAACTTGGACTGGATCAATGTGATGTGCTACGACTACCACGGATCATGGGACACTTCAGCAACGGGGGCCCAAGCTGCGTTGTTCGATCCAAAGAGTAATATAAGCACGAGTTATGGGCTTCGGTCATGGATCAAAGCTGGGCTCCCTCCAAGCAAGTTGATCATGGGCCTGCCATTGTATGGGAGGACGTGGCGGCTCAAGGACCCTAGATCACACGGTGTAGGAGCTCCAGCTGTTGCCGTGGGCCCAGGATCAGACGGTGTCTTGACTTACTCCGAGGTGGAGGCGTTCAATAGGGCGAATAATGCCATAGTGGTGTATGACGGTGTCACGGTGTCTACGTATTCTGTGGCAGGAGCATCATGGATTGGGTACGATGATGCCAGATCAACAACGGTCAAGATAGAATTTGCTTAGGTCCTTGGGCTTCATGGGTACTTCTTTTGGGCCATCAATGGTGATTATGATTGGAAAATCTCAACACAAGGTAGAGTAATTTCAAACGTAAAGCAAATTTATACCTGACATAGTTGGGTATTTAACCATTTTAATTATATGTCCAAAAAAAAGTTTACCCCCATGGAAAAGGTATGCACTTGGGTTTTTTTTTAATAAAATTAATACCATATTTAAATGAAAATACCATATTTAAATTTTATTGTTCATCTAGAATTATTTTCAGATTAAATGAAAATACCATATTTAAATTTTAAATTTCTTACCTTTTTTTATTCAAATACTTTTATTTTGTAAGAAATTTGTTTTTATTCTATTTAATATTTTATTAAATTAAAAATAATTTCAAAAAAATCATATATAAATTATTTATGCCATTATAAAAAGTAAATTTTTTTAATATCAACTTACTGGTAGTTTCGGAAGTGCTAAATAACTATACTTTTTTACTTTTTACAAAAATATGTATAGAAAAATAGATATCTGATGTGACTCAAAAAAAGATAATTAAGTATATTTAAATTAAGTGTATCTAAAAAAAAAAACAAATAACTCCAAATCATTTTCAAAAAATGAAACCAAATAAAATTGAAAGCCGAGACGATGAAAGGCTGAGAAGTTGGGCCCATTGTAGACCAAAAAAAAAATTCCTCAAAAACAATTGTGAGGGATCGGCTGAGAACTTGAAAGGTTGTGTCAAGACCATCAAGTTGAAAGGCTGTGATCTTCAAGACCATCAAACTTCCTCTGCTCTTCCTCTGGTGTTCTTACTGTTGCAACCCACGGCTGAGGGATCAGCTCTTTGCTGAAGCATTCTTCCACAATATGACTGGAAGAGGCTCTCACGGTACCCTTTCATTCTGCTTGTTCATTGTTCATTGTAGAGTTTTTTGGTTTATCAACATGTACAATGAATCTGCAATTTTGTTTTTTCATTCTGCTTGATATCTATTTCATTCTGCTTGTAGAGTTTGTATATTCATTGTTCACCATTCTGCTTGTTCACCACCTGAAGTCACACCTTTGATCATTGATGATATGTGTGGTGTTAGTGTAGTGAGGGATGAATCCTCTGCTTGTTGTTTTGCTTTTGTGAACTCCTGTTTATTACTTTCCTTTGAATCAAAATAAATAAATAAATAAATAAACTTCACAATTTGTCTTTGTCATCAACATATAGGATTTGTCTCTGTCATCAACATATAGGAAAACCATGAATAAACACCAAAAAATATATATATTTGTGAATTTTATAAAATTATTTTGATCCCCAAATATATATATATATATATATATATGTATATATGTATAAATAATGAGTTTTAATGAAATGTTATCAAAGCATTACAGACATATTGGAGAAATGTTATCAATGTAAGAAGAATGGAAATGATAATTTATATATTTATAGAAACACATTGAAGATGTTTAATGAAAATTTCAAGATATTAATATAAGTCTGATGCTCTGTTTTTGTTTTTCTTTTGGCTGGAGAAGCCAGCGGTTTGTTTATAATTTGTTTTAAGTCATGATTTTTGTTTTGTTTTTTGTTTGTTTGTTTTTTTTTTCTTTGGTTATTTTTTTAAATGCACATAATTTTTTACTGTAGGAGCATG